CCATTAGTTTATTTCATGTCGCTTTGCTCCCACTGATGTTTGGTAATGGTGCTTGAGATGCAAAACAAGCTTTACCAGGCCAGTATCTTGGTGCCTTTGTGTGAGAAAGGAGAATTTTCTGTCCATGTGAAGAGCACTCTTGACTGGATAGCTGTTGAGGCAGAATGATTCTTCCTGGTGGCTTTAACCATGCAGTGCTTTGTGTGGTTGTTCTGGGGCCGGGGAGTGGGAGGGAGAATATAGAGGCTTTGAGAATAGAATCTGCTTGGGTTGGGCAGTTAATATTTCTTACTTTTTTCAGTGGAACTGTTCCTTTGTAAGAAAATGCTGGTCTGTGAGAGTAAAAGCCCATGTGGAAACCCACTTCATTCTTGTAGAACAAGGAACATGTAATTATGTTTGTGATTTCATGAATTATATATCAGAGTTCTGAAAGTCCAGAAGCCATATCTAGAGGTGACCTTCTTACTCACCTGAACCTGACTGGATAGACGTGAAGATAGCCATTTCAACTATTATCTGTAGCCACATTTTCTGTTTTCCACTGTCCATTATGAACATCTCTGCAAAGGTTTTATTTTTTGCCACCACACTGTTTTATATTTAAAGTTCTTGTCATTCCCCTTCTCATTCCCCTACTGTCATATTTTCTCACTGTTTAAAAACCATGTCCTCTAGAATCAATCTGATTTGGTTAAGTTTTGACCCTATTCATTTATTAGCTGCATGTTCTTAGCAAGTCTCTTAACCTTCCTAAATTTCATCTTAAAATTGAGAAAACTAACAGTTAGCAAGAAGCAAAATAATGAAATATAAATAAAGTATTAAGTTGGTACCCATGCTGCTGAGTCAGCAGCAAGTACTCAGCAGGTCTGTGGGTTAGTTACAGGCATCATCCTCGTCAACCTTGTGTTCACAATCTTCTCTGTCTTATTGATAAGGAAACCCAAGACCCTGAGAGGATAAATAAGGGAACGTAGGTCAGTTTTCACACTTCACTGTCAAGAAACTAGAATCCAAATTCAGGTCTGTCTTCTTTCATCATTTCTTTTTTTTGATACTGGGATTGAATCCAGGGCCTTGAACATATTAGGCAAGTGTCTACCACTTGATCCAAGGTTTTTTATTTTATTTTGTTTTTGAGATAGGGGCTCATGTTTTTGCTTGATGCAGCCTTAAACTTTTGATCCTCCTGCTTCTGCCTATAAACTAGCTAGGATTAAAGGCATGCACCACCATGCCCGGCTTCAAGTCCTTCTTTCTAAACTGTTATTCAAGATATGCAAAAATATAAAATGTGCAATATATGCACTTATGTGACCCACATATACTGAATTTCTAATTACTGAGTATGGTGGTGATTATTACGTACTGATATTTATTCTTAGTGATTATTATAATAAATAATATAAACATAAGTATTAATATTTATATAATATTTATTTTATGTAAATATCTATATAAAAACAATTTAATATATTTATAAATATAAATAATATATATTTATTATATAAATAAATTTATACAAATATTTATATAATAAATAATAATATAAATACAAATGTAGAAATAAAATAACTAGTTTAAGTGAACCTATGACCAATCTTTGATACTATGACTTTAACCCTTTACTATAATCCAGAATCAAACATTTGCTTTTATTATGTTTGCCAGTTTTTAAATATGATAGATTTTATTTATTTTCCTTATGCTTTTTATGCTACTTCCTTGATACTTTAGTATAATATAGGGAGCAACAAGACCTTAGAGCGGTTTCTATGTTTAGCAATTTTCCACAATTCTGTTTCCCCTACATAAAAATATGCAGCTCTTATAGTAGTTTTATGCATTACTAAATTAAAAAATTCAAATAATGGTGTGTTTGTGAATTTATAATTATAGTGAAAATAATTTAAGAATAATTTGTATTCTTTCCAAATTATAGTAAAAATGCACCTATGAAAAAGATACAAATTCCCCAGTTGAATTTGCCTAGTAATTAAAAAAGAAAAAACTCATTAATGAAAAATATTTTTAAAAAGAAACATTTAGGCTTTGTTTAGGCTTCGTTTTCTGTAGTATAGATGGTAAACATTTTGTGTCATAGAAGAGTTGAAAATAGCAACTACTGGCTACATAGAAATCATGAACCTAATTACTGCTTAATATGTTTTCGTTCAGGAATGAAAACTACTCAACTTACCTTCTTCATTTATTAAAGAAATATACGTTTACATTTTGTTACCATGTAACAAATGATAAATGTTATTTCAGGGTACACACATATAGGAATTCCATGTTTAAAATAAAGAGCCATGGAGAAAGGTCTATTTGTGATAGGAAATGTGGAAATTGATAGGTAGGAAGAAAAGAGAAAGAAAAAGAAAACAGAAGACTCAATGGGGAAAATAACAGGCAGTGAAGTGCATGTGATAAGGAGAGAGGCGGCAGAAGGTCAGACCTAGGTCAAGGGAAGGGAAGAGAGCAGGGTGAAGATGTATAGTTCCAAAAGACAAAGGAGAGAAAGGAAAGAAAGTAAGATGGGGTGAGAAAGGAAATAATTAGAAAGAAATGTGAGATGAGAGAGAGATAGATAGAGAGAGATTAAATGTATGAGCCTCAGAGGTGATTGTGATTAGCTCTGTAAAACTTATAAAGGTTTTTTCTCTTGTATCAAATCTTTTTTTTTATTGTTTTATTATTCATATGTGCATACAATGCTTGGGTCATTTCTCCCCCTGCCCCCACCCCCTCCCTTACCATTCACTCCGCCCCCTCCCTCTCCCCCCTACCCCTTTAATACCCAGCATAAACTATTTTGCCCTTATCTCTAATTTTGTTGAAGAGAGAGTATAGGCAATAATAGAAAGGAACAAGTGTTCCTGGTTGAGATAAGGATAGCTATACAGGGAGTTGACTCACATTAATTTCCTGTACGTGTGTGTTGCCTTCTAGGTTAATTCTTGTATCAAATCTTAAGAAAAATTTTACCTTTTATTTTGGCACCACTGGAGTTTGAACTTACACTTACTACACAGGCTTGAACCACACTTCCAGCTCTTTTTACTTCAGTTACTTTTCAGGCAGGGTCTTGCATTTTTGCCTGGCCTAGACCAGAATCTCCTACCTATGGCCTGCCCTGCAGCTATGACACTGCATGCTTTTTTGTCGACATGTAGCCTTGTTCACTTCTTGCCCAGGCAGGCCTTGAACTATGAACCTCCAAATCTTCATCCCCTGAGTAAGCCACCATGCCCAGCAAGAAAAAAAACTTTATTATAATATTTTTTAAACTGTGGGAACATGACTTATATGTATCTTCCTTATTCTGGCCTTAATATCCTTACAATGGGATATTATATCCTTAACAACACCCCTTTTACAAATAGCATATCAGACTTACATTTAAAAATGAAGGAAGACTTTATAGGAGAACTATTTCATTTGTATGCATAATGCCCTGAAGACTTTTGAGAGCACACCTGGTGTGAGAAATTGAGAAAGTCTCCTCTGCCCTATTTTCAGGACTATACAGATTTGCCCCCCCCACCATACTGTGAAGTTTTTTAAAAGGGGAGCCACATTTTATCTGTTCATTCTTTCACCCAGAGTAGTACTACTAAATAGAACATTCAGCGTATACTTCAGTGAATCAATCAGAGCTTGATGAATAAAAGGATGAAACACTGAACTCCAGCAGAAACCGTACAAAGCATTTCATTTCACACAACTTATAAACATCAAGCAAGGATTCAATTTTATTTCCTTATATAAATAATATCTTGGTGAATGGTGCAAGGTGAATAAAGTGAAATGTATTTGTAGGCTTAAAAATCTAAATCCCTATAAGTTTAGACTATATGTGTTCCATTCCCCCACTTTCATCAACTAGCTGAACTATGTCATGCTATGAAAAATAAAGGAAAACAAATGTGTGTAAAGTATTGAGTGCATTCTGTGTGGTAGTGGAAAGTGACATAGATGATGCAGTTGGTCAGCTCTTGGCCTGTTTCTTCCAGGTAATTACAGCCAACTTCCTGTCCAGTTGTGCAATAGCACCATAGTTCAACTCAAGTAATTATGTTTGGATGGCCCTATCTTCTGTCTACATTCCTCCTCTTTCTGAAGGTGTTCATTCGGGTACTAAGCTAAGATGGCTTAATCATCTGCTCGCTATTTCCCATTAAAGACCAATCCCCTAACTTCTCTAGTACAAATGCACAGAAAGGAAGGATGGATTTAATTTACTAGTCCTCAGATTCTTTATCTGATTAACAGATTTTATTTAGTGTTATACTAATTTGGGAGGTTTACTTTTAGCATTAGTTTCATGCCATTTTCTAGTTATACACTGGGCTTAATAATATCTGGTTTAAATTGATTATTTTTAAGATTAAGTGAATTGTCCATTATCTACTCAGTGCAATGACAGCTACTTTTTCCAAGGACTATAACTGATTGGAAATGACTTGCATAAAGCCAAATAATTATTGTGATTCCTCTGAAGCTACCGCATTTAGTTTTGAAAGGAGTGTTATTTTAATGACAGTTAAATGTAGTTATTTTGGCAGATAGATTTAGCCTAATTCTATTATCATGAAGCAAGCAGAAAGTGTTTGAACTGGCTCATAAACCACTTCCATAATATACCTGAGAATATTTCCACCTTGGATAAAAAACGTTTTCCCATTTCAATTTTCACTTTCTTTTTTTAAAGATACATTCACTCACATTTTTAATAGTAAACTTCTCAAACTCTAGATGATACTGTTTCATAATTGTCTTTAGAAAGTGGCTGAATGAGGTATAAAATGATTTTTTTCTATGCTGAGCTACGATGTTTAGTCTGGCTACAGATCATTAAAATTTGCTCGTGTGAATCCAGTAAGTCAGGCGAGTTAATAAAACATTTCTTGTTCCTCCTGTTCATCAAATAACGTTACTTGTTGACAGCCTACTCAGTGACAAGTACTGATCAAAACACCATGTCTATTTCACAGGTGATGGAAGTCAAAGGACAAATGGTCCATGTTCCAGAATCAAATTCCATTTTGTTTTTGGGCTCTCCCTGCGTGGACAAGTTGGACGAACTCATGGGTCGAGGCCTGCACCTCTCAGACATCCCTATTCATGATGCCACCCGAGATGTCATTTTGGTTGGCGAACAAGCAAAGGCCCAAGATGGCTTGAAGAAGAGGATGGACAAATTAAAGGCCACTTTAGAAAGAACTCACCAGGCCCTGGAAGAAGAGAAAAAGAAGACAGTGGATCTCCTATATTCTATTTTCCCTGGCGATGTAGCCCAGCAGCTGTGGCAAGGACAGCAAGTGCAGGCCAGGAAGTTTGATGACGTCACCATGCTCTTTTCAGACATCGTTGGCTTCACGGCCATATGTGCCCAGTGTACGCCCATGCAAGTGATCAGCATGCTGAATGAACTCTACACCAGGTTTGACCATCAGTGCGGATTTTTGGATATTTATAAGGTAGTGGAATTTAGTCACTTATAGATAAATACTGTTGAGTAGTGTATTGACTGACATCTAAATTAAGTTACGAGAATACATTTTTAATCTAAACTTGATAGTAAACTATGTCTTTTTATCTTTTCTTTTGGGAATATTAGGGTTTGAACTCAGGATCTTGTGCTTGCTAGGCAGGTGCTCTACTACTGCAGCCATATTACCTGTCCCCACCCTCAATATCCCTTTAACTTAGAAAGCTTGATGCAGAATGCAGGTTTTGGTGTGTTCTGAGTAAGCATTCATTGTGAGTCAACTTATAGTACATACATAGGCAACTGTGAGTCATGATCTTGCTCAGTGATGAAAATCCTATATAGCTAGCCATTATTATTAAACTCATTATTATTAATAGTAAACTCATGATTCTAACTTGAACCAAATTATTATTGCTACAAGAATGAAATTCCCATATAAAGTCAGAATTTTATGTTGACAGTTCAAAGGAAATGGTTAAAATGTGCATTGCTTTATCAGTTAAACCATGGCTTATCAATATTTTCTACAATGTGGTCAGTTAAGGGTGACCCTTTTAATTCTAAAAGAATACATGTAAATATTCTAGCTGTTGCCAGAATCAGCAATGGTTTTAGTGGAAATACCTTAATTTTTTAAACTACATAGTGGAAAAACATTGGAAATGGGTAATAACCACCATTTGTTGGTTTGATCTGACAAGCTCCTTTTAATTTCTTTTGAAAATGATAGCAATATCTTGAGTGATTCAGTACCATATCTACTTATTAAATAATTACAAATTTGCGTGGCATTTCCCACAGATTACACAATGTCAAATTGACATTTTTTATGTGACATACCTTTAATATAGATAAATAGCAGTGAACTGCAGGCTTCTCATTTTTTCCTTGCTAATCCATCTAGATTATCCATTTCTTTTGATAGTATGATTGGCACATGATCAGTCTTGGAAAGAATTGCTTCAGTTTGTAAGTTTCATATTATGATTCAGAGAGTGTTTTCATTAAAGTGTGTCTCCTTGGAGAGGGGAGTTCTCTGGTTGCATTATATAGAAATTTCAGTCATTGTTCAATATTTTAGTTGAGTCTCTTTTGAGTGGTAAACATTCAGTGTAGAGGATGTATGAAGGTTTTGCCTTGTTAGACAAAGTACAAATTATTATAAATCATCTTAATTTCTTTATAATTTATTATTATACAATTTATGATAGACATAGCCAGCTGTCTGAGTCTAAGCCAGAAAGGCACTAAAATTAGTCTATTACTGTCGAAACTTCTTGTCACTTCCAGAAAAGTCAGGAAATCAGCTTGAATTTCCCAGTACCTTTTTTTTCCCTCCAGACTTAGGGCATTATTATGTCTGTAAGCCACCAATCTTCTACATCATTGATTTTACCTAAAACTGCCATAGTGCTTTTGTTTATTTGTTTGTTTGTTTCATTTTGTTTTAAGACCTAAATTTATATAATTAAATGGCAAAGATGCATAGATAAAGAGATTCACTTCTGAAAACACTTGGGAACTTCTGGTTTTAATAAAAGTGTCAGGTTCTGAGAAAAGAAGAAATGCAGTATCTTTGAGTACCAAAACAACGTCAGCTTCAAATGTATAATTAGATTTCACACATATAAGTGTCTCTTCCCTTGAGATAAGGTAGGACACTTCACAGGAAACGAAAATCTGTAGAAATATCCTGTATGATCTTCAAATTTTCCATAGAGTTTCACATGGTTATAAATAATTATCAGCAAATTTAAACCTGCAAAGTGAATCTTCTCTTTATTCAATACTTTTTTGGTACTTTTGATCTTTTGTGTGTGTGTACTCACAAATAAACAGAAACAATTCTATTTCACACATTCTCTTGAACTAAACTTGCTTATGAAATCTAAATACTAACTAATAAATGAATAAAATTCCAGGGCTAGGTGTTTTGAAAATATCTCCAGTGCTTATATGTACATGTATGTGGAATAGGTGTTAAGTGAAGCTTTGGCTGTTTGGTTAGGATTAAAGTATAGTTTGAGGGAACCAGATGAGGGCACACATCGTGTTTGGAAGCCACGGTAATGATAGTCTGGCCAGAGATGGGGAAATGCACAAATAAACAGAGGATGATATCCCTATATAAGATGGACGATAAATTAGAAGGAATAGATATTAGACATCGTCAATCCGACATACCTGCTTTCTATTTATTCTAATCATTCTAGTTTATTTTCTAGAGAAATTACACAGTGCCATTTACACCTTGGACTATTTGCTGTTTTATACTATGAACTATTTACTATTGTATATCATAAACTACTTTGAAATTTTAAAATCCTAAAGGATACATTTTTTAATGGCCCCAAGTCTGCTGATTTTATTAAATGAAAAACAGTTTCTACAAATTTAAAGCACAGTAGAATCTTGAATTTTGTAGCAGGGAAAAATGTGCAGCCCACTGTTGATTTACGTTACAAATGTGAATGGAAACTAGGTGGAGTTGAATCCCACAGAAAAGAACTAGAGACGGCGGCTTGAAGTGGCATTCAACATCTGCTATGGCAGGACGAGAGCCCAGGCTGTAAACTTGATCATCTCCTTTTTCAATGTTTATCTTTAGGAAAAAGAGTGACAAACTGAATTATAATTGTAGAGGTAGAATTCAGCAAAACTAGGCCATGATAAGAAGGCTGTGCTGAAACAATCAAGCCTTCTATAAAGTAGGAGGTGTGGGAAGAAGCTATGGATTTTACTGTGCATATTTCAAGCATTGAGAAAATTAAAGCCTTTGCAAAGCTTGACTTGCCAATCTGTTACAAGTGTGAAAATAGTAAGGAAGCTCTAGGTGACTTGAAGGCAGCATGAGTTATAATTTAGATTCCTTTGTAATTAGAAAGGCAGATATATTCAGCAAAAAGGGCAGCATAAGTTATATACTATGTTGTAATTTACTTCTCAGGTTGTTAAGAGTATAGAATGAAAAAGGGCAGGGGTGTAGCTCAGTAGTAGTGTGTGCCTAGCATTTGCAAGGGCTTGGGTTCCATTCCTAGTACCCAGAAAAAAAGAACAAAATAAACAGTAACTTTGTGAATAAATGACTGTAGATGCTGGTTTCATAATAATAATAATGGTAGCAATAATAAAAATGGCAGTGAATAGTGAGCAACGATGTGGGTTATTGTCTCTTTTCATGATTGCCTCCTGTAAGTCCTGTGGTGTAAGAGAAGGAGGAATGAATCCTTTTCTAGTACCTCTCATTCCATTCTGCCAAGCTGCTGAATCCCCATGCACCTTAAACACACCCTAGAGTTCTCATCTTTTCACCACTGCAAGGTCCTTAATTTTGCAGAGCCTGCAAAATAAAGATGTTAGGTGCATGAATCTCACAGTACTTAGAACAGCATCTCATATGGAGTCGTAAATGTAATGCTGGTTGCCATTATTTCTCAGGCGGGGTATCAGGACATCTGGGGTTGTTATATGACTGTGTTTGAGTGTGCTTGTATATACTTAACTGTAACATACTTCACGTTTATTGGAAATGCATAAAGTGTAAGTGATCTCATTAGTCCCTCACAACTAACATGTCGAGTCATTACATTACCACTATTTCCACATAAAAAAAAGTTTCAGGAAAGTTAGATAACAGAGATAATAAATCAGAATTTGAACTGAGGCTTGTCCTACTCTAAAACCTACACCTTTTCCATTTCTACACTTTAATGTAGACAAAGACCAAAAGATAAAAACAGAGAGTAGAAACTGTTTCAAAGTTTACTACATGATCAATAACTACATGATGCACAACTGTAATTCTAGTGCTGTGTGGTAAGAAAACCTGTATGACTACTATAATCAAATCTGCCACTCTCTCTTCAGTTGTGAAGTATGCAGAGGTCTGAGAAGTTGTATTTTTAAGAATATGAGACTCTCTTTCTTAGAACCCAGCTGGCAACTTTTCCCTTCATTTCTCCTATACAGAAGTAGTCTACCAACAGGGAGATGGGGAATAGTGGCCCCAGGTGCAGGCAATAAGGAGAGTACTTTTAAAGTAATGAAACTGAATACAAGTTGATATGATATTTAAAAAAATCATTTTTCCCAGACAAGTCTAAGTAAATTGTTATTGATAAAATGGTTTCCACTGTTGAGGTGACTGTATGTGTGTGTTGAGGGGCGGGTGCATTTCCATCATAAACCCCTGACTTGGTTTTCAACTGTTCATGGATTTAAACATTATCAGTACCTGTGTCAAGCCTGAATTTTGAAAAAGGAGCAGAAAAAAAAAAGATGAGACAGTCAGGAACTATCTTACCAGAATTTTATTAGACCAGGGAGTCTGCTGAGAATCCAAAAAGAATGCAAGTATTATAAATCCAGCTAGCAAAGTAGAGTCCAAGACAATCAGGGAGAGCAGAAATCCAGGCACAATTTTAGGGGGCATAAGACCTTCGGATCTGGCATAAGGGGACTGAGTTACAGGAACCAAAAAGCAGGCAGCAAGTGTGAAGGTGAGCATTGGGATAAACTAAGCAGAGTCTTCACCCTGGCCAGGACTAGGCTTGGGGAATAAGAGGGTATACATACAGGACACCTTCACAGAGGAAATGGGAACAATGTCCCTGGGAAACTGAGAGCCAGGAAAGACATCAGGTGTCATCTAAGTGAAGATAGTGTAGGCTTGGCACAGATATGTGGGAGCATGGAATTTGTATATTGGATAAGGAGCTGTTACAGGCTTAACTACTCATCGTTAGTCCTTTTGCTAGGAGATTAAAGCAGACATTTCTCACATAAAGTTCCAAAGCTGCAAAACTTTATGCCCCAAGAATTTTGATTTGTCTTGACATTTGAAGATGTGGAGCTACTAATGCCATCTGTCCACTGGACCTTCAGCCAGCCTTCAGGAAATGAAGCAAAATCTCAAAGATGTCACTTCAGCATGAATTGGATTTTGCTGGAAAAAATGAAATGTTCCCTTTTCCTCTTGTTCTATTT